AACCAATCAGAGGCAAAAAAAAAAAAAAAAAAAAAGTAGGTCCCACAGCTCAAGTGTCCGTCCTTCCTTCCTTCCTTCCTTCCTTCCTTCCTTCCTTCCTTCCTTCCTTCCTTCCTTCCTTCCTTCCTTCCTTCCCTCCTTCCTCTAGGCTTCACCTCTTTAAAGTTCACCAACCTTCCTGCAACACTAACATTTGGGAGCAAGCCCTTAATACATAGGCCTAGCAGAGAGGCTCAAAATCTACATCATAGTGAAGGGATGGCGGGTATCTTAGTAACTGGTGTACACAATCACATGGTGATCATCAAGAGTTCTGAGGGACTGGGACGTGAAGATTTAGCACAGACCCGTGGAAACGGAAGCCTGACAAGACAGTGGTTGGGAAAGACAAGTGACTTTGAGATCTCCTTGGGAAATTCTTTCTTCGCAGTTTATCAGAGGGGGCAGACATCTGGAGGCTCCCCTTGTGAAGGTTTAGCAAAGCAGCATTGCCTACAGTGATGGGGCAGGAGAGTCTCCAGGCCCAATTCAGAAAGGATGGAGCCGATGAGCAAAGCCTGTGAGGGGCAAACTCGCAGCCCTTTATAAACATTCAGGACCGAGGCCCCAAGCTCACTTGGAGGTTTGCCACTGGAATTCACCTCAGAAGCAGAAAATTAGTCACAGGATTCCAGGTAACCACAAAGGAGAGGAGGGACGCAAACTACTCACACAACGAAGCCCCGTGTGCCCGGCACTTAGCCAGAGCATGCTAATCCTACCAACAAGCCCGTGAGAACGACGTGACTTCGTTCATCTTTCAGAAGCACCAAGTAGAGCTCAGAGTCATTGAGGAACAAGCTCAAGGAATTAAGGATAACATTCAGAGGATGCTGAGTCTGTATCCCAGAGAACCACAATTCCATAACACTCATCCCTTTCTGAGCCTGAGCAGTGAAATGCACTGTCAATTCCATCGAGTGGCTTTGGCCACTGAGTTTCTGTCAGTGCGGGGATTCCATAGAAATCTGGCTTAAGACACTGAGTCTACAGGCTCCTCCCTGAATTTTTATTTTGATACCTTCCATTAGTGTGACTGTGCTGGACTCTGTCACTTGCTTCTATGAGTCTCTCTCTCTCTCTCTTTTTTTTTTTCTTTTTCCTTTTTCTCCTTTTTTGAGGCAGGGTTTCTCTATGTAGCTTTGGAGTCTATCCTGGACTTGCTCTGCAGATCAGGCTGGCCTTGGACTCACAGAGATCCACCTGCCTCCGTCTTGCCAGTGGTGGGATTAAAGGTGTGGGCCACCACCACCCTTCTTTGAGTTTCTATAAGGTGTTAATGATATGAGCTCTGGTCCTCTAGCAGCACAGCCAGGTTCTGTGTGAAGGACAGAGGATGTAACAAGGGAAACTTCCCCAACTGTCTTTGCCTCTGGGCTCACGTTTGCCTGTGGTCTCTTTTGTTATCTTCATGTTGTTGCTTATGTGTGCAGTCAGAGACCACAGTCGACTCCAGTCAAGTTACTGAGATAGAAACAACTTTGCACTGCTAAGAAGTAATGTTTTAAAGAAAATAATTCGGAATTAAATAGATGGTTTGGGAAATGAATCCCATTTTCTTTTCTCTGCAGCTTTGAATGAATGAATGCTTCTTGGTGCTCAATCACAGCCCGGTTCCGTCTCCTTTAGTAGGTGACTGGATTGGCAGAGAGTGCACAAACTTATAGTTGGTTCCTGTCTTTCTCTTACCAGTGTGGAATCCGTGCTCCTGCACTGCCCTCTATGTGTGACTGTCTGAAACACAGAATCAAATTCTACAGGAGCACTAAGCTCTCTTAAAATAAGGTAGTATTTCACAGTGCACTTACTGAGTTTACAACATGCAACAGACACGAGCGATTACAGTACTGAATTGTATTGACAGCAAAAGACGGCACTTGTGAACTGTATTAGTGATTGCTGAAAGGGGAAAAGTTCTTACGATGTTCAGAGGAGAGTTATTGAGTTATTGAGGAGATAACAACCACAATATCAGAGATGACTGCTGACATCACCTGGAGAAAAGGATGGAGGAGAGTCAGTCCAGAGACTCACCTCCAGCTACCTGGAAGGTGGAGATGCAAACCCTTAGAGACAGACATTTGCGAATATTTTCTTGGGTAACATCGCCACCTTGTGTCTTTTCCAGATATTTCATACAAAAATGTGCATCACCATGTTTCAATGTTTAATAAATGTTCCCTAATACATATTTTAATTTTTGTTGCAATATTCAAACAAAATAGTACAAATACATGTATATATTCTTTTATACTTTTCCACTCCTTGTTTGTACATGATAATTACACAAAATTGAGTTTAGAGTTTGTCATACACCCAGCTAGTCTATGTTAACTAATACACTATTATTATAAATGAGTATATTGTAATATAATGTACTGGCTAGTTTTGCATCCACTTGAAACAAGCTGGAGTCATTGGATAGGAAGGAACTTCAATTGAGAAAGTACCTCCATAAGATCAGGCTGTAGGCAAGCCTGATTTTCTTAATTACTTTTCTTAATTACTGATTATTGGGGGAGGAGCCAGCCTATTGTGGATGGTGCCGTCTCTGGGCTGGTGGTCCTGGTTTTATAAGAAAATATGAGGAACAAGCCAGTAAGCAGCATCTTCGATGGTCTCTGCATCAGCTCCTGCCTCTAGGTTCTTATCCTATCCTAGCCAATGATGAATGATGATGTATAAGTGTAAGCCAAATAATCCTCGTCCTTTCCGGTTTGTTTTTGGCCATGGTGTTTCATCACAAAAACACTAACCTTACCTAAGACATATAACGATCAAAATCACATTTTCATGCATTGTATAATTATCCAAACAATCATAATTGCAAAAAAAGGCACAATCCTGAGAATTATGAGTTCAAGGATTTGCAGCAAGTGTCTTCGCTCCGCAGTCAACACAAGACTGAGAATGCTTCCTTAGATTTGCAACACTATCCCTGGGCCTGTTTACAGACAACAGCACTCCCAGTCCCTGCCACTGGCAGAATGTTTTCTTTCACTGTCTATCAACTTGATTTAGTTCATTTCAGCAGATTTACACCATACCCACTCCTTGTGTTTACCAAAGTGTTTTTTTTCCAATGTAATATTTTCTGTTCTGTTTATGCTCATGTTTTCCAGGAGAGCCTGAAGGGAAGGGGTGTGTGTGAAGCCAGGATCCTAATCTTTGGAAAAATAAATCTAATCTTTTGCTATCAAATATGGCACGGTGCAGCTTTTAAAAGTTCTTTATTCATTTGAGGGAGCTCCCGTTCACTACCACTTTAATGAAAACTTTAGTCCTGAGTGTGGGTTAAACTTTGTCAGGTGCAGTTTTCCCTCTTGTTCCGTAAAAGTTAAAAACCCTTCACACCCTGCTTCATTTTCTGCTAACAAGTTGATTGATTTTGCAAATATTAAGCCAATCTAGCATTTCTAAAAATAGTGATTTTTTTGAAAAGAATCCTCCCTTTAGTTTTATTGATCTATATACTATCTATTTCAAGGACTTGCATACATTCCCTCTAAATATCTAAATACTATATATTTTAAGAGTATATGGCTTATGATTTCTCTGGCAGCACTCTGACAAATGAATAAATGGGATCATTATATCCAAATAACACACTTCTATCATTTTGAAGAAATCCTTCTTGAGCATGACAAATTATGTTTCTTATACGTGCATAGATTATTCAATGGATTCTATCCATTAGCAGTCTAGGAAGTTCTGTATCTGGACTTACCTGGAAGACTGGAGATTGGGTACACTTTTGACCTCAAGCATTGAGTTGGAAAGGGCTCCCTTGTTTTTGTTGTCTCTAAGTTTGTGCATTTAATAGAATTTCCTTCCTGGTACTAATAAAAAGCAGTTCACTAGTACAGCATTTTTCTTATATAAAGTATGATTTGTCTATAGTTATATATTTTTTCATCTATTTTTTTTACCTAGTATAGCAGACATCTTTTACAAAAAATGATTAACTAATATGGATCTATTGTTAACTAACACATGCAGTTCACAGTAGGGTCCATTCTCTGTGTAATTCTCGAGACTCTGACAGACACATCAGATGCTACTCCTGCAATATTGCACAGAAGTCTAAACTGCACTAGCAGTCTCCTGTGCTCTACTGCTCCCTCCTTTCTGCATCCAAGCTCCTGGTATTAGCTGTTCCTCTTTTTCTGTCCCTTGTAGTTTTGGATTTTGCAGGGTATCATATAATTGCAGAGTAACATCTAAAACCACAGTATATAGCCTTCTCACATGGGCTTCTCTCATTTAGTAATATGATCTTAACTTCATTTTTTTTTTTAATGTTGATACTCTGGGATCCTGAGCCAGAGCAAAAAGGGGCCTGAGAGAAAGGGGGTTGGGCTCACCTAATCTAGATAATCCTTCACAGGCATGCCCAGAGGTTCTTTTCCTAGGTTACTCGATATTATGTCAATTTGATAACAACCACCACAAGGTGGTTATATTGATCTGAATGGTTTTAAAACTTGTACTTAATGTTTTACTAGTTCCTCTTCAGAATTCTTATGGATTAATTATTTTAATGTCACATTAATACATCATTCACTTTTCTGGCATATTTGTTTGCAGTATTTAAGGCTGGTCTTACATTTTTAACATCATTTTTGCTTTTGTTTTGAGACAGAATTTCATGTAACCCAGGCTGTCCATCAACTCTTTATGAGGCTAAACATGACTTTGAACATCTACTCACCTCCTATTCTCAAGTGCTGGGATATAGATGCATGGTAATACTGGAATAAGTATGGAAAAACTTAGAATGTTATACATTAAGTAGCTGCACTTAACCCCTTCCATGGCCAAATGCCAAGTTATGCTAGGATGACAGTTCTCATTTCCCAATATGTGGGCACAAACTCTGAATTAAAAAGACGAACTCTAATTGTTTCTGTTGGATTTTAAAAACAGAGCTTCTCCAAATACTAAAGATGCAATTGTCCAACGTGATACTTCATGTTATTCTGAAAACTGTATCTGTGGTAGTAACTGGTATAAAGTTTTAATAGGTTGTTCAAATACATGATGGTAGATTTTTGGGTTTTCTTCCACATGAAAGCAAAGTATTGCAATCAGAGTACCCGACTGCAGTATGCTGCTCATGAAATAAAGCAACAAAATAAAACAACAACAACAAACCTCTTCAAAGCTCTGAGGTTGGCTTTTACCCTAATGATGGAGCAAATCAAGATTATCTGGGGAACACATATTAACTCAGAAATGACCCAAAAGTATTGCACTAGGAGATTGCTAACACCTACAATACATCTAAATCCTCATAGCTAATGAGAAACTGCTAGATAGACTTTAATTCCCGCTAAATATCCATTACTAAGAGCAGAAAGTCACTTTCCGGGAAGGGAGATTATTTTGAATTTAAGTCGTTCACGCAACGATGCTTGTTCCATTTTATACCAGTGACATTATTTACAAACACAGCAGGGAGACTCAGAGCTGTAAAGCAGACACTCGACCATTTCATGAATTTACGTTAAGGCTGCTGGAGAGGTTGCGCCGAGTCCGGGAGGTGACTGCAGGGAAAAGGAACCCGACAGGAGTTCCTAGTGCTGGAAAGACCGGTGTCTCCTCGCTCCGGAAGCCCGGGGACACACACGTAGCACTGCGCAGGCGCACTGACTTCTCAGCGTGACGGACCAATTGAAAGGAGCAATGGGCGGGCTGTGGAAAACCAGCTTCCGGTTCCGTTGGGCTCAGTCCTCTCCAAAGCTACGTGTCTTATCCTCCTCAAGCTGCCGTCCCGCAAGTAAGGCTTTTGTCCTGGGTGGAGGGCCGGGGAGAGCTTGTCCCGGGCCCAGGGAGCTAAGGGGTGGCCGCATGGGCGGGTGGGGGTGCGAGGGGACCGGGGGACGAGGAGGCCCTGGGGATTCGAAGGGCCGCCGGGACCACCGGGTCTTGGAGTGAGCGGGCCCAGGGAGCGAGGGGGTCTGGGGACGAAGGGACCATGGAATGAGTGGCCGTGAGGACAAGGGGAGTGGAGGGCGAGGGAGCCACGGTATGGGCGGGCTGGGGGGACGAGGGTGCCATTGATGAGCCCAGAGGCCAGGAGCTGAGACCTGGGAACTGCGGGACCAGGGACAAGTCATTTGGACTGGGTCGCTGATGGGCTGGTGGACAGAGAGCCATTCATCCACGAACACGACCAAATCCAGGATCTATCTACCTGGTCTCAGGTGGAAGTATCTAGTCAAGACCTATGTAGAGGAGGTTTCCAATAGTTCATGGACCCTAAGGACTTAGCTTCCAGATCTGGGAGTGCAGCCTGAACTTCCCGGCCAGCCCTTTTAGTGAACTCAGTCTCTTGCGGCTTCCAGAGCCTGCTGCCCTGAACCTGACGGTGAGCTTGTCTTGTGAAATTGAGTTCAAGTTTAGTTGGTCAAGAGTCTGCATCAAGGGGTCTCTTGGTGGATTAATGGCTCTCCTTTAACATCAAGCGCAGTGATTGGTCTAGTGTGGATTTTAGGGCGGTTGGACTTCAAGGACAACTAAGTGAAACACTGAGAAAACAAGCATTCCATTGCTTTTTTTTAAAAAAATCAAGATGTGGATATAGATTTCTTAGTGTGAGCCTTGTGAACTTGAAACAGTGTGAACTGTTTCATGTTGTCCACTGCTCCGACTTAGATAAGGAAACTGGGGCTTAATGGGGTTTATGTTTTCATCTGACCTCCAAGAGCTGGAAATGAAGTACAAATACCATGGTTCCCTTACCCGTGGCTTCTAGAGCTGTTTGATTATTGAATCACATTCTTGTTAATTAATGTGCTTGCTTGTCTGTAGTCTCATGTTTTCTTGAATGACAAAAAATGAACACTGTTTATTATGTTATTATAATGTTGCTTTTTTATGAATTGAATTCACCATTGCTCAACTTTCCTTTGTATGTAACTCAACAAGGCCTAATATCTGAGAGAATTCTAACGAGTCTCATGTTTTTACTTTGATTGTTTTAAACAGTCAGCCATGGATCAGGTAATGCAGTTTGTTGAGCCAAGTCGGCAGTTCGTAAAGGACTCAATTCGGCTGGTTAAAAGATGCACCAAGCCCGACAGAAAAGGTAATAATATTTTCACCATGAGAGAAAATGCTAAATCCTTGCGTTTCCTAAGTCTTGTGTTAACATCTGCTGATTCGTCTTTGCAGGGCTGGGAATCAGCTCAGTGATAAAGTGCTGCTGAGCATTGATGCATTGATGTCACCACCATTGCCCTTTCTTTATGTCCTTAGCAAGAACCGCTTAAAGTTCTGTTCTGTGGTATGACATTATTAAGGGCTTTTCATCCTTATCATATAGTCATATTTTAGTATCTTCCATATTGCTAGTGTGTGGAAGCCTTTGGCATCTTCCCTGTTCTGCCCTCTAGTGAATAAAACTTTAACATGAAATTAATGGTGTGGTTATTACAACGTAGACATCTTATTTTGTTTTCTTATGTCATAGCTTAAATGATCTGCTAGAACTTGTCTCCTTTAATTCATGAATTGGTAGGTTAGAACTTGAGGCAGACTATAATGGAGTAACATATTATCTTAGGGTTAGTGTTGCTGTGACAGAACACTATGACCAGAAGCTATATTTGGTTTACAGATGTTGAATCACAGTTCATTGAAGGAAGCCAAGTGAGGTATTCAAACAGGGCAGAGCATATAGGCAGGAGCTGATGCATAGACCATAGAAGGGTGCTGATTATTGGCTTGTTCCTCACGGCTTGTTCAGCCTGCTTTCTTAAAAAACCCAGGATTACCAGGCCAGGGTTATCCCCACCTACAATGGGCAGGGTCCTTCCCTCTCAGTCACTAATTATAAGTGCACTACAGGCTTGCCTGTCTACAGCTGAATCTCATAGAGACATTTTCACAATTTGAGTTCCCTTCTGTCAGATGACTAGCTCATGCCAAATTGACATAAAACTAGCTAGCACACATCAAATACCTAAATAAAATAATAGATACTGGTTTTTATTCTCCTGAAGCTGTGGGTCTGTCAGTGATAACCATCCAATAAGTGCAGTTACACATTTCGATTTTTCCTTGATAGGAATGAAGGAAGATAATGAGATCTGGTAGCACATAATAGAAGAGCTAGGTTAGACAGTCAGGGGATGTGTCCTTGGGAGATAGATTAGGACTGAAATATACCTGAGTTGAAAACTTTTTATAAAACTGCTGACCTGAATTTGAATTTTCAGTCCTTACCTTTTACTTCATCGTGGTATTAAAGACAACTTAATTGTCAATAATGTACCCAAAGCTACAATTTATTGTTATGATCAATATGTTACAGTAAGTTAGGATACAAAGCACTTTGTATGCTGACCTCAGTCCTTTGTTTTTGTTCTTCATTTTGGTCACTGAGACTAATATATACTTTTAGTGTTTGTTGATGAACTCTCGAGCATAACTTCATTTCTGTGTTTCTTTTAAATGCCAACAAAGTATAGAATTTAAAAACCTGTAAGTCAAGTTTTGTACCATTACTACTTCCACTTTTTCTTCATTTTTTAAATTATGTATCTACCAATCAGATTGTATGCTGCTAACTTTATTAATATTGCTAATAGCTTTATTTCATACCAAAAAAGTTGATGCAAATTTTGTGTTTTATTTTCAGAATTCCAGAAGATTGCCATGGCCACAGCCATAGGATTTGCTATTATGGGATTCATTGGCTTCTTTGTGAAACTGATCCATATCCCTATTAATAACATTATTGTGTAAGTAACTTTATAAAATAGACTATCTAGCAGTGACTGCAGATGAAACCATTTGAGTTGCAGATCAGCCCATTTTATTAATGTACAGACATGACCCAGGGTATTTTAATAATATACTGGTATTGTGTATCTTATAATACTTTCAAAATGCTTTTATGTCTAATACAATCTTTATAGCAACTAGTGAGCTAGGAATTTTATTTAATCAAGTTTTCCAGTATCAAAGTAAATTAAAGGCACATCAAATCACCGCCAAGTATTCAGTGACAGACTAGATTCATGACAAGTCCTGATCTCCTTGATCTTCTTAAGGTGCAGAGAACCCACGTTTAATCTGGTGGGAAAAAAATCACTGTTTTGGTAGAAATCTGACAACCGGATTGCCTACATCCTTTTCTTGTTGCTTGGTACCTGTCATAACTTTAGGCAGTTTAATTACCATTCTGTGTAAGGACAGTATTTCTTTCTTTTTTTTTCCCTTTCATTCTTTTTGGGTTTTTTTGTTTGTTTGTTTGTTTTTTGAGAAAGGGTTTCTCTGTAGCTTTGTAGTCTGTCCTGAAACTAGCTCTTGTAGACAAGGCTAACCTCAAACTCACAGAGATCTGCCTGCCTCTGCCTCCCATGTGCTGGAATTAAAGGCGTGAGCCACCACCACCGGGCTCAGTGTTTCTTTCTTGAATTATAAGTTCATGACTTCAGATGTCATGTAAGACCTTAAGAAAAGTAAGTATCCAGCTGATAATTTGTTATTGAAACGCTGGTGTTGTTGACAGGGTGTTTAGGTAACAAAGGAGAGAAGTCTGAGAGAAAATATTCTACTCTCTTTTTTGCCATATGCTTTTGCTCTTAAAATTCATTGTAGATTATATTATGGCATAGAAAATTGGTACATATTGTGGCATAGAAAAGTTAGAGAAACCGTATTTATTTACAAAGAGTTTAGTTGAAAGACTTGGTGTGAGTTTCTCCACATACTCTAGACTTTTTAAAATGTATTTTGTGTTTTAACTGTATACCTGTATTGGGGTATGTACATGTGAGTGCAGTGTTCCTTTGGGGGCACAAAAGACCGCTGAATTCCTTGGAGCTGAAATTACAAATTGTTTGTAATTGCCTGGAATGGTTGCTGGGAACTGAACCCCAGTCCTCTATAAGAGAACACATGCTTTTAATGACTGAGCAGCTCTCTGACTTCTTCTGTAGTCTATAATTTTGTAGTTATAATGTTTCAGCTTCCTCTTCGATTTGAAACTAATAAATTTGGACTTTACAGGTGGTAAAGTTTAGATTTATTTAGGAAACCCCTTAATTTTTATAATCTCTTCAATAGTACATATTTTACCACTAATATCAGTGGAGTTGTTTTTTACGTGGCATGTGACTAAATACATACTATTAGATGGGTTTAGACAAAAGTGGATGCTAAAGAGTTCTGTATAGGATTAAGATAGACTGCTTGGTATATGTCTAAAATCCTCCACCTTTGGGCTAGAATATCAAGGGCAGGAGGATTGCTGCAGGAAGAGGCCAGCCTGGGCTATATAATGAAACCAAGTATCAAAAAAAAGAACAAAACTGGAAGGAACCAAGTTATTGAATCTTTTTCTGTCCATTGAAAACCATTTGTATGATTAATGAGAAAGGCCAACTTTGGAATTGTGGGATCTTGGAGAGATTTTGGAGTAGAAACCAGAGTCTGGGCCACAGTTGTCTTCTCCGTGGGAAAGAAGTGCAGTAGCTTCTCAAGTCAGTGTGTGTATGCATCCTTTTTCCTCGTGCTACAGCCAGGGCCAAATGTTAGTTGGTGTGAAGGTGTTTTAATGACACAAAGCTTGTTTTCTGTGATGATGTCCTTAACTTTGCCCTCCAGAACAACAAATGAAGCTTTGCTTATTTTTCTTTCTTTTTTAATGTAGTTTTTTTCCCCCTAAACATTCACTTAACTTAGCAGAATGCTTTTATCTTTCTTGGCAGAAGCTGGGTGAACTTGGGTCATACCTTGATATGTGTGTCTGTTGTACCAAGATTGGGAGTTTGGAAGCAGGCCTATTACTTATCTGCCTATTACTTTTTTTCCTCTTTTTGCCATCCCTTCCCTGGAGTGTTTTATTTCTAAACTATACTTATTTCAAAATAAGTATTTTCCCCTGTAGACAATTAGTCAGTTCTAATAATATAGAGTAATGATGCTTTTTTTTCTTTGACACTGACTATTTTGATTTATAGGGAAAAAAAACTAATGAATATTGTATATCGGATGCTCTCTGTCATGGTCTTTTGGGCTGCTATAACAAAATCTCCAAGACTGGGTGATTAGCAGATACAAATTTTATTCTTTCTGAAATGCAAGTTCATAATGTTATAGTGGATTCCGGCTCTGGTGAGGGCCTGACCTTGATTCTCACGTGCTGAGTTTTCACTTGGTAAATGGGACAGAAGAACAGTCAGCATTAGAGGCTGGGAGCAGAGGCTTTTGTAATGGTCCTAATCTTCGTGAGAGTGCATACAGTCACGTGCACACAGATATAGATTGGTATTTATGTAGGTGTTAAAAACACTGAATCAGTATTAGTAGAATTAAGTAAAGACTGTCCTTTTCTAGTGCACATGCGGGTGATAACAACTGCTGCTGAGATTTACCCTAGTTCAGTTTTTGTCAGATGTGAGCAGCTCATCTCATCCTCGGGAAGAAGTCGAGGCAGAGACAGCAAGTAACTTGAGTGCCTCACAAGTGCTAGAGCAGCGTAGGAGACGGTTGCGATGATAGCCGCCTGGCTAGCTGCGGGGAAAGCTTTTATATTTTGTAGTTAAAAAGATTCGTCATTGTTTTACAAGTTATTCACCACTTAATATTTTCCTCCCAAAGTGAAAGCCAAATAAATAAAGCAGATTTTTTTGGGGGAGGTTGGGAGGGGACTATAGAAAACAGTTCACTTCCCGTATTGCACTACAGCAGCTATAGAACTGAAAGAAATTGTTTAGAAGCTTGAAATGATTTAAACCATTCTGAGAGGATGGCAGGAGGAATACAGCCCCAAGCTTCTCACTAGCTTGCATTCTAAACACAGTTTTCCCTCGGGATAGACTTCTGGGGGGTGGTTTTTGAGTTTTTGTTTTCTTTTACAATCAGAGTGAAAATTATGTATGCAGTACTATAGTTCAAAGGAGAATGAAACGTGTTAGTACATTATTGCAATGCAGCCTCATAACATAAAGTAACTGTAAAGTGTATACTTGGGTATATACTTTTCAGCTGGTAATGTTGACATCATAGCACTAGAATAGATCCTAACGTCTTGCTTTTAAATTGAGGAGGTCTTCTGTGGAAATGGTAGTTTTGTTTTCCTTGTGCTTAAAGCAGATTCAGAATCTCGGCTAGAGACTAGTGGTTGGGAGCAGCGGTGCCCATCTGCAGTCTTTCTTTTTTTTAAACTGGGTTGTTACTTGTATGTCATGTAAAACTGAAAAACTTCTTGTGTAATTAATGTGTTTGTTAGTTTAGAAAGACATGTCAGACTGTTCCAAAATGACATTTCCCAAAGGAGCATAATGAGTGTTAAAATACGCCTGCCCAAAGCCAGGCCATCATTAAGGACCTTTCGGAGTCAGATTTTAATCAGTATTATTCTTTTCTGCTGTCTTGGGACAGAATGAGAGGTTGTTCTCTTGAAGCTGGGTTTGATTTCATAAGATCACAGCGTGCTGCGTTTCAGATGATTATTACTGTACTCTGCTTAAAAGGGACCATTTCTCTTTCTTTTTCAGGGGTGGCTGAGTGCTTCCGCTTCGCTGGAACTAGGAGCAATGAGGGTGTGAGAAGCTTATGAAGTAAAAAGTTGCCTGTATACTTTGTGTTTTTCTTTTTTTTCCCCTCCCCAAGAGGTTTTGTATTTCTAAACTAAAATAATTTCAAAATAAACATTTTTTCCCATGATAAACATTTATCAAATTTAGTGAGAGGTTATACTGGATTTTATTTTCTTGAGCCTTTTGGTTTGAAGGAAAAATTAAGTTAACTGCTGAAGTATTGTAAATTGAGATGCTTTTCTTCCTTAGACTGCTTGGGCTATAACAGAATGCCGGAAGCTGGATAATTTGTAGGTAATAAATTTTCACATTCTAAAGGCTATGGAGTCCAAGTGTAGGTGCTAACGGACGCAGGGTCTGCTGAGTACTTAATTGGTCTCAGTGCTTCACAGAGTGGCCTGCAGCACTCAATGTGGCTGAAGGCCAAACAGCACTGTGAGGCTTTAATAGGAGTCATAATCCCACCTACTGGGGCATGCTTTGTGAACTAATCACCTCCTACAGACACGACCTCAGTAGTCTGTAATGAAAATTAAATTTCCATGTGATTTTTGGAGTGACACATTAAAATCATAGGTAGCATCTTGTGACGGATGTTTTGCTGTAGTAGGAACAAAGCAAGTGAAGAATGGGACAGGTAGTGAACACATTACTTTGGAGGTAGGATAGTAATTTTGTCCATATTGCACTCAAATTGTCAACAGATAATCATGCGGAAGTTTGGGTGATACTTGACACAGCTTCCTGAAAATCCTGGTTAAAGTCTGGAAGTGAGTTTCCTTCCCAAGGTGTACTAACTAGTCACACCCCCAGGAATGTTGGCATTCTCAGCTTATTGAATTTTCTGAATTCTGTTTTTGTTTAACTACTCGCCTACACGGATGAGCAAGCACTGGTTGGTAGTTCCCGAGGCAGCAGATCCTTTATGTGTCTATTTGTATTGCTAGTACCATGGCACGTATTGGGTGATGGAACTCAAAGGGTGGGTATTGCAGTGTTCACGCCCAGCATTTAGCAAGGTCCTTATTGCAACCCCATCTTATGATAGTGACTAGAGAGAAGGAAGTGGTAGACTGGCAGCCTCAAGCTGTTTTGTAATTGTCCTTCAGTCAGTTGATGAAATGAAGACTTCATGATTTAAACGTCTGCCACTGGGCCTTGGCACTTAACACTGTTGCATTGGGGATTAAGCCTTTTAGCATGTTTTCTGGGAACACATTCAAGCCATAGGAAATAATCCAATCTTTCCATTTTGGATCCTTTGTTTATTTTCATTGTGATTGTAGCTGATAGTCTCGTTTTGAATTGTTGATAGTGTTTGAATCTTGAATAGCGTTGCCCATAGAAGTGAAAGTGTAGCAAATCATTGACTGTCCCTAAACTTCAGGATACCATAAAATATGTCTTTTAAATAGTTTCCACACAGGAAAACTGTGTGGGTACAAATGTGTATCTGTATATGTTTACACATCTATATATCTGCACTTGAGAGTATACATTTTATTTTATTTTATTTGAGAGTATACATTTTAAACACATGACATGTTCAAGGATAGGATTGAGTAAGTATTAATTTTCTGTTGTTTGTTGCAGGAGGAATGTAGTGTGTTGGATTGAGTGGTGAGTTTGGTGATGTCTGATTTCCAGCACACAAATAAAGGAGTAGTGTGAATATTTTGTGTGCGTATATGTAAATATGGTGAGGGAGGACCAAGAACACTTGTAGAAAATAATCTTCATAAGCAGCACTTTGCTTTTTTAGGTAGGAAAGATTAGATGTAGATTGTTTTATTAACCTAGACTATATAAGACCCGATGGAATTTGTGTTGTAAAATGGTACAACTTTCTATGTCACCTTAGGGAGTTTTTTAAAGGCAGCATATCTGTTTCATTGTAGCATTTATACCTTGCTCCTAATTGTTCCCTCTCTAACTGTCCTGCCTTCTAGTTTGTCTCCTTCCCTCCTGCAGCCCCCCAACTTCTGCAGTGCTTCATGTCTTGTGTGTTCTGTTATTCTCTCCTTTATTTCTCCTCTAAATCTCCCTACTCTCCCATGGTCCCCTTTCAAGGTTTATGATTTTACATGCACACACGAATTAAAATCTAGATCTTGTGTTTGAGAGAAAATGTGATACTCAACTTTCTAGGTTTGACTAATTTCACTTAACATTTTTATATCATTGCTCTTTAGCGAGATACTTGGGAAGCTGGTTGGATTTCTATTTCTTCTACTTATTTATTTTGATGCATTTTCTACCATCCTGCCTGAATATTTTACTTTTTTGCTATCTGCTAAAACGTAGACACTGACTGACTTACCACTTTATCCTAGGTCTCTGTAGAGTGATGTCTGCACATTGTTACCCACCTAACAAACATTTTCTTCCCAGTGGAATGAAATTGAAGTTTACATCCTCCATATAAATATACCGTGTTAATCAGGGCTCTGTAAAGTTCAGCTGTGGTTCAGTTAATCCAGTAATGGCTGCCTATAAATGGAAAGTCCAAGAATCTAGTAGTTGTTCAGTGCACAAGGCTGCTGGTGCTGCTGGTGTGTAGTATGTGCTGGAATCCCGAAGAAACTGGCTCTAATGCCAGTGAAGAAATGTCCTTGCTAGTGAGGAGAGAGCAAGCAAAGAGCAAAAACTTCCTTCTGCTATGTCCTCAGATAGGCTTCTAGCAGAAGGTGTGGTCCAGACAAGGGGGTTGGTTTTCTCAGCTATAAAGATCTGGATTAAAGGGATGTCTTCCTAGCTTAAGATCTGTATTAGAAGTAGATTTTTTCAGTTAAGCTAAAAATCCTTCACAGTTGTGCCCCTTTTTGGGTTTTAGTTCATTACAAATGTCGTCAGGTTGACAACCAAGAATTGCCATCACATGTGATATGAAACATGATTATTTAGGCCACTGGCCTATTACAGTATCAGAAAGGTAATCTTATCTTTTCTGGCCTTGATCTAGTTTCAGAGAAGTACCAAACACTTAACAACAGGGTCTGGGTTCACAAACTGCTTAGCTTTGCTGGGCTTTTAGCTTCCTGTGCCTTCTTCTGCCTTCTCAGTGACAGTCATTGATGAAGATTGTAACGGAATCTATTTCAGATGGAAGTGTATTTATCACAGTTTCTGGTCAGTGCATAAGGATGATTCTCTTTTAAGGATGACTCAGGGCTGCTTGGGTTGCATGCTCAGAAATGTCCTACTCTCTGTGTTGTTCTGGCAGTTTCTCTGCCTTGGGTCCACAGTAAAGGCTGAGATCTGTGGTTTTTGGGCTATTTCACTGTCTTGTATCTTTAGTAAAGGCCGCGGTCTGTGTTCTGTCAGCTGGTCTGTCCTGGGTCTACAGTAAAGGCCAAGGTCCCTGAAATGTTGAAGTTTATATCGGATGAGAGAGGGTTCTTGTTTCATTCTTCATCATTGCTCATACCTAGTTTTGTTAGAAACATTTGTAGAAGAGGCTTTTTTCTCCCCTCCAATGTTTGTTTCTGGGATATTTGTCAATAATTATGAGGCTGTAGCTGTAGGTTTGTTTTTGGGTTGTATATTCTGCACTCATCTATATGACTTTTTGTTTAAATACTATGCTGGTTTTGATACTAGGGCTATGTAGTACATTGTAAAATCAAGCATGATAGTGCTTACGGTTGGCCTCCCACCCCCCAGGATGATTTTGGCTATTTGTTTGTGTGTGTTCTTCTTTTTTCTTTTTGTGATAAAACACCATGACCAAGGCAATTTTTAAAAGGTAGAGTTTAATTGGATGTATTGTTCCAGAGCCTAGAGTTAGATGATGGAAAGAAGGCATTGGAATGGAATAGGTGATGGGAGCAGTAGCTGGGGGCTCACATCTTGATGCACGTGCAGGAGGCAGACATACATTTAAAGCTCAGCTGCTTTGACACATCTCCAACAAGGCCTTATCTTTCCCAGATAGTTCTAACAAGTGGGTGTCCAGTGTTCAGGGATATGAGCCCATGGGAGCCATTTTTCAAACCATTATATCTACTCCCTAGCCCCCATAGACTTGTCACCATATCACCCATCATTAAAAATCCATTTAATCCAACATCAAAAGTTTCCCATAGTCTTACAATTTTAACATCGAACTTTAAAAACCAAATTCCAAGTTTTTCCTGAGACTCAGGGCAATCTCTTATTTGTAACCCCCTGTCAAATGAGAAAGCATATTACATACTTCATATTACATATTGCAACATATTATGTAAGAGACTAGGTATTACCATTCTAGAGGGAAAGATGGGGATATAATAAGGAAATACTAGACAAATGAAGACTGTAACCTAGCAGTACAAACTCCACATCTTGTAGCTTTATGTTTTATGTCAAAGGGCTTATATGGCTCTGCCCTTTCGATTTTGCTTCCTGCAACATATTTTGAGCTGGTTTCCTGTCGGAGACCAGCTTTGACAAAAATACCACTCACCAGGGTAGGGGCATGGGGTTTAGAAAAATAGTAAAGAGAACGAAGACACGAGTGAACATAATAAAAGCAGAAAACATACGATAGTACCAGGAGGGCGTTCCAGTGAATACTGAAATTGCTGTGTTTAGTTTCCCATATACTTTTATACCCAATACAAAAAGGGAAGAAGACAAAAGACTACTTTAACATGATACAAAGGGCAACTAGAACAGTTATTTGCTTCAACACTTTGAGGCATCAAGTCTCTAGCATTCTGTTTTTTAGGCAGTGAACTCACCCTAGACCTAGTATCCTGAAGGCAGCCACTCACTCCCAAGGTCAAATCTATTTAAAAAGAAGGAACAGAAGTATGCTTGAATATTCTGACCATTGGTCAGGGTAGAATGGATCTACCTGTATGGACCATCTTAATGTCAAAAAGAAAAAGTAACCACACCCTAGGTTAGGGTGTGTAGCCACACTATTGTCAACTTTGAACAAGCTAAAACTCTGATCTTCAGACAAGGTGGAAATAGACTCACATTTTTAGGCCTCCACAGTTTCCCTGAATTTAATTTCTTGTTGGCAGAGATCCCATGAACCTTGCACCTCTAATGTCTTGGAATCTCTAATTCAACCCAGACATTATTTTCACATCTTCATGGAGTGGTCTCTCAGGTCTTCATGGACCTTCATGCAGTGATTGCT